CGCTCCTCACCCCTCGCTCCTCACCCCTCGCTCCTCACCCCTCGCTCCTCACCCCTCGCTCCTCACCCTTCACTTTACATCTCAGTCCTTCCCATTTATCCTAGCCCCAAAGTCCCTCCGTGACTTGTTTTGTCCGTGAGTATTCATTTGACAAATATCTGTAGCGTTTATATAGTTTGAATTCGTATGAAATCCCTCTATTTCACGTAGTATAAATACTTTTGCAGTGGTTATCGGAGAGAATATGTCGAGATAGACTGTATCCGTACGTTTCTGACAAATGCGTTGAAAATTTGTGTGCTGAAGGATATTTTATGACAAACGCAGAGGACAAAGGCAGCAGCCTCACCTTCAACTTCCAGAGCTAAGCGACTTGAATACTCCTCAAAATGTTTGCTAAGGTTATTAACTTAACACGTGAAACATTTTCAATCACCACTTAATATAAAGCGTATTCTACATGTGTTCCAACTATTTATTTGCCGCTGATGTTTGTCACAAAAATACTCTCGTCAACGTCCATTCTGTACTATTGACTCCCTTCCATTCTGCCCCTCCCCATCCCCTCTTGCCTAATCTCACAACAGCTCTCTCAACCCGCCTCTTTTACAATTTCAAATACATTCTACCATTCCCATCTCACCTATCCACTTCGCCTCATCACCACCCGTCACTCTTTACCTTCGCCTGCCATATTTAACAGAACATCTTTCCATCTCGTTACGGACCACCTACCTTCGCTCTTCTCTGCCACTCTCTCCGCACTCTACCCTGCCAGACACTTTTTCCTTCTCTGCTTCCTTCCTGCTCTCTCAATATCACTCCACACAGCCATGGTGTATGAAGCTTCCCTTTATTTGCTGATTCCGCTGTGCCTCGCCTGCTCACGCCATTCCTCCACCCGCATCTCGCCGCACCATTCCGCCAGGCTCCACTCTGTCCCCATCCACTCCGACACGCTCTGCCACGCCCCTCCTCCGTCACTAATAAGCATCCTCCATGTTCCACTCTGCTCCCCTCGATTTCCTCACGCTCTACCACGGTCTTCCATTGTCTGCCTCCGTCACGCTCCCCTCTAATACGCATCCCCCATGCTTCACTCCGCTCCGCTCCTCCCCATTCCCGCACGCTCTACCACGCTCTTCAATTCTCAGTCTCCGTCATGCTCCCCTGTAACACGCATCCAAAAATGCTCCACTCTAATGCCCTCCACTCCGCCACACTCTACCACGCCCCTCTATTCTCTTCCTTCCGTCACGCTCCCCTCTAACAATCATTCCCAATGCTCCACTCTACCGCCCTCCTCTCTGCCACTCTACTGTGCCCCTCCATCTCTGCCTCCATCACGCTCCCCTCAAAAACGCATCCCCCATGCTCCACTCTGCTCTCCTCCATTCCCTCACGCTCTACCACGCTCTTCCATTCTCTGCCTCGTCACTCCTTCTCTACCGCGCTGCCTTCTTCCGATCCCGAGTGTTCACAGCCTCTTTGCATTTCTCCTGAATTCCCATCAACGTTACTCACCACCTCCTCTGCTCTTGCTCTCAACATTCAAAAGCGTGTTTTCGTTTTGCGTGCATTTTGCATTTTGGTTTTGTTCTACCGCGCGACATGGATGGATTTTTTTCATTTTTGCGTTCGACTGTGTCTCTAGTGAATTGGCATCGTGTGTAGCTGTAATGACAATGTATAGCAATTTTTTTTCTCTCGTGGCCGAATATTAGATTCGACCACGTGTTTTCAGGAATCGATTTTTCCCCAGACGATTTTCGCTCAGAGTGGAAGGACTGTGGGGCGTCCTTCTCGTCAATTTTCCGTCGTTAGGTGTGTATTCCCTAGTTAGCATTTGACGTAAGTATATTTTTCAGTACTAATGCTATTTCAAAACATAGTTGTAGCGATAAACGTAGTGCAGTTTTCGTAAGCGTAAAGTTGCAATATTCTCGTAAATAAAAACAATCATAAATCAATTTTTTATTCAATGTCAGAATTTTAGTACCATTAAAGGGGATAGGGTCGTTTTCATAATTAATGGGCTCGCTGAATGTGGTGCAAAATCTAATAACATTTTTTGTGATGTCCATGATTCATTTATGTTTTCGTGAGTAATTATCCATTGCAAAAGCAAAATTAACCATCAAAACACTGAAGTACTGTTCTCCCGTAATAAAAATTACTCCTTCCTATTTAAAAGGGAATGTGTATCATAACGTTCAAATGTAAAATGTTCAAACGCAATGTATAATAATAATAATAATAATAATAATAATAATAATAATAATAATAATAATAATAATAAATATTTTAAACGCATTTTAATTTATTTCAAATTCAAGCCACATACTGATTCAAGAAGGAATATTAATACTCATGTCATTATTGTCGTTTGTAATAATTTCATACACAATATAGCAAACAATTACTTTCTCTTTGGAGTTGTAATTGTGAATTGTCAAATGAAAAAAAAAAGATTTAAACAATTATGTGATTTTAAATATGATTCGGTAAATTCTAAAAGAATTAAACAATTGTAAATAACAATATTTTTAATTATTCAAGTCTATTATCATTTACATGTAATTTTTGTTTGTGTGTAGCGATCTTTCTTTCCATTGTAGGGAAAAGGGACCTAACTGAGTTCACAACGAGCAAAATTGCTCACCCAGTTTTTCCTGTGAAACAAATGTGATATTTCTGGAGAGACGCTGAATGGAAAAAAAACCTACAAAACTTCCGCTGTGGAGTAAAAGAAACATGATACTAGGTGTCTCGAAAAATAAAAAATGTAAAGTCCATGTGTTCTCTTCACTTAGGTCCCTTTAGCACGGCTTAACACTGCTTCTAAGGCCGGCGCCAGCCTCGTTCCGCCGCGTAGTTTTGTCCGCTGGAGTAGACAAGGACTGAGCTCTGCTGGCCGCGATGCGCGGCTATCACACGTCCCACTCTGCCGGCGGCAGCTCCGGTAAGTTGGCGAGCCTGCTGCGGCTGCCCGCTGCGCCCACCGCCCACTGCCCATCGCTCCCGGCGCCCACGACCGCCGCCCCCGCCCGCGCCCGCGCCCGCGCCGCACCCTCGGCCGGGCGAGCAAAAGTGAGTTGTAGCGGCTCCAGACTGCATGTGGTAGTAGCTGCCTACCAAGGAAACACAGATGCTCTGTATGTCAACGATGAATCAGCCATTTAATGACGAAAAATGTGCAAAAGATCATTAGCAAAATAAATGTTTGATACCAGACTTTACCCCATTTTTTATTAGGAAAATGTTTCTTTTAACAATAGCCGTTTATACTAATTGTGTTAGTATAAATGTCCATAACATATTTTCACATAAAAATTCTGTTGTACATGTCTATTGTTTTAAATGCCTATGAAGTTCCCACAATACTCTGTAAAAGTTTTAACAAACTTACGCAATCTGGTTATCTAATATTTTGGTATTTTTTAAATTATTACTCTAAAGAAGTACATTAATTAATGCACATAGTATAAATTAATAATTCGATATAACTTAAATTATAGATTAACAAAATTATCACTATTTTTACTTTTTAACATTAGTACACACTTCTCAGTAGTATTGTTTGCCTTCTTTTTGCAAGCATTCCTCTACAATATACATTATTTAACATAGGAAGTATTGTAACTACGCAGGTTCCAGAACTCAAGTGAAGAAAAGTTCGTGTTATCGCTAAAGAATTCAGAATTAAGCCTCTCTTCGAAAATTATATCCTTAGAAAATTATGATGATCCAGACTTGTGTACTGTTTGTAACTGCGTCTCAAATGTTAATGTCTCCAGTAAATAATATAACTCTGTATTAAAACGTTTCTCTTATTTCGTATTTTTTTAACATAATTTCTTAAATTCACCGTACGTTGTTTCGTGAGAATCAATTATATATCAGTTCAATCACCCAATAAAAATGTACACTATATTTTAAAATATATAATATATCCATTTCACGTAATATCTGGACTTAAATGGGAACCAATATTTTGAAAAAGAAGACCAATGAAAAGGTGTTTTAGCTTCTCTGATTCACAGACTTAGGTTCTTATTTCACACATCTCTTTTCACAAAACGCTGGATATTCTTTTATTTTTATCTCCAGATCATTCTTACAAATTATCCGTCGAATAAACTCGGATGAACTAAAATATTCCATGAGTTGCATAAAATGTTTCCTTGGTGGCAGTTAATATTTTCCAGAAGTTGTTTTGCAATACTCAATACCTTTTGCGTTTGACGAACGCATTTAATTAAAAGCTATTGAAACTTAGTAAAGAATAGTTTGAAAAGTAATGCACAAATATTCCCATAGTATGAATATTCGATTTGGATAATAAAATTATCATTAAAATTAAAAATCCAATAACTGCAAATTGCTTATGTGCGTTCATGGCAAATATGAACAACAAAACTGTTAAATGTTATTATGATGTAAAAGTACACTATCTAACTGGTAATTTTTGTATGATTTCATTGTTTTGGTCAACGAAGAGTTAGATTGTTCTCCATTAGTACACTAGTAAGGCAATATCGTAAACAAGTATCTATTAATTTTATTAATGATACAAGAACAAGATTTACTCAGTATTTTCGTCATTAATTCGCTTTCTATCGTATACATAAATGACAAAAATTTTGGTTAAATAATATTCTTGTAAAAAAATAAACTTTTAATGAAACACTAATAACCCAAAGAAAGGAAAATGTACATGGGTATGTATTATTATTATTATTACATATATACATATTTTCTTTAGTCGATGGGAATGATTGTGTAATTACATCTGCTTGAATTAGAAACAAATTTGTAGAATATCATAGGTATAAAAACTATTTTCCGAGTAGTTACCAAATTGGCAGTAGTTAGAAAATATGTACATTCGTAGATAGATAATTTAAGAATTACATTTTAAAATAGATAAATTTGTGTGTGTGATTATTTTACTTACAGGATAAACACTATTGTCCTGAGGAAGACACATGACAAGGACATGCAACTGCAGCTGAAACTTTATAAATGGTGTCCTTTCAGTAATTAGACCTGTTTAAATTTATTTTGAAATATTATCCCCTCTCTGACAGGAACCTGCGCTCGGACCCGTTGAAATGTCAGTTTTTAACGGCTCTTGGTAGAAAATACACTTTCACAATTGCATTACAATAGGGTTTCTTACGACAGGTTTCCTTTATTCTGTGAAACAAAGACTGATGGAATTCTCTTTGTTCATTAGCTGCATGAAAAGTCTCATGAACACCAAGAACAGCAGATAACAAATGTTAAATTCATTAATTAGAATACACTATTACATTTATTAAACAACGCTTCAAAATGATATATTTAGATAAATAAGAATATGTGAGAATGTTAAGGAATTTTTTTGTACATTTCATTGTACATTTTATTATTTTCCAGCAGAAGTCACAAACTTTAATTCATATTTTAAGTTATTTTCTGGATTTTATCACTATAATTGTAAAGTAAAACAAAAAATGTTTTAAATTGCTAAAGTATTAATTCTTGTTGAAGGAAAACAATACAGAGTAGAAATATATTCTTCGATTTGTTGTAAGTAATTTAAATTCATACTGTTGGAGGAATTGTAAAATTGTTACTCATAAAACCTCATTTCCGTAATGTACACGATAAACATTACTGCAAATAGTTCAATTTCATGTGATGTAATTCAATAAATCGCAGGGATATTTCAAAAGTTTGACGGAGTGTATAAGTTCTACTTGCGAGGTATCATATTAAAGAGCTATTTAAAAATGACTGCTCATGATGACATGTGAACGGTAACTTTTCAGGATTGAAAATAGAAACTTGTTCAACAGTCTACTTTTTTGCCGTAATTAATTGCCTGCTCGACCGAGCAAGGTGCCCTGGAAAGAAGGCAGCGTTTTTGTGTTGCGACAGTTTTTCAAAGAAGATATTGCAGCAGGGCAAGGAATAAAAAGAGCGCGCCTTTGCCTACACGCCCGTTACAACGCCAGCGCCCCGGCGAAGCGAGGGTCGTTTGGCGGCAGATGTTTGGCGGAAGGGGGCGGGTTGTCTGGGCATGGCACGGCAGCAGTGGGCCGAAACCTCGGACGACATGGATACTTTGGATTTTTAGACATCCGGCGCCCGTTTTACATCTCAGCGAACAAGATTTTGCACACTTGATGTTCCTTTCTACGCAGAAAGTTGCCGAATAAATGTAAAAATAGTCTAAGATAAGTAATTTCATCCATTTTTAGCTAATGAACGTGTTGTTAATATTTTCGTTTGAGTTAAACATGTCTCATCATGCATTAGCATCTGCATCTGCAAGGATACGACTTTTCAATCTGTTCCGATTCCTAGATAAATAATCACTTCATCTTCTTAGATGTCTTCCCACGTTTCTTATCCCCCATTGCGTATAATTCAAAGTCATTCTAGTTATTTTCTCTTCAGACATTCTTAGTTGTTGTTGTTTGTTTTCATTTTACATTGTACAGTGTAATAATTTTATTTACGGCGTAATAATTTTACAATGTTTCATTCTTATGTAATTTCTTCCTTTTTAATGTGGTAAGAATGTCTTAATCTAGTTATATTTCTGAGGAATTACTTTGCTGTCGATTCAGTTCAAACATATGACACCCTCCCCCTTATTTACTTCCAGCTCCTCATGCGCCTGTGTTGAAATCTCTTCGGCTGCTTTAGAACGTGACGAGCAAAACACCGGAGCTTGCAGAGTTGCCTAACTCAGGGGCAATGTTACATTACCTTAGTTATAAGAAATTTCCCAGCACATATTAATCGGCAAAATTTATCTTGAATTCCTCTAAAAAGTCTACAAGTTGAGTATGAGTATCTTTTTACTTCTAGTCATACCAGACATTCTAGAAGTCAATGCTTAGGTGGACGAGTCCTACCTACCGCCGGCTGAGACTTGGTAATCTTCAAGTTTCGCTTACCATGGTTCCCCCACTCTGACGTTGAAATGGCCCAAGAGTCCGTATTTTGGGGTGTAATTTCGAAATCTGAACTAACGTAGCCCGTGAGCCCCTACGTGCCAGAAATGTATCGCTTAGAAGTTTTAACATTTATTCTCTAATCTCTTGTAGGGTAGTTCGAAAAACATTTCACAAACTCAAGAGCATTCAAGGGCGTTAGAGATGTTCACAGATCAACATTCGCTGAGAAATCTCATGTGACGCTTGTGAAAGTTACGCATGTGACATACTGAACATTGCGTTCCTGATTGGTAGGTAAATAATCCTGCACTGGTGGTTGGCGGAACTCGCAGACGACCAACTGGCCTCTGGCAATGATAATAAAGCTTTGTCACAACGCAGGAAATTAATTTTTAAGAAGTAATAGTGCACGCGTTCATTTACCCGACGTTATGCAGCACTGTACGCTGCTGGAGTTCATTTATTGATGGATTGTTTGTAATTCCGGGTGCATCCAATTGCTAATATCATTAGTCCCGTAAGTTTAGTGCATATTTTATCCTCGAAAGATGGCGTTCTTTCCTCGCTGAATGGCGAGATCCGGCACCAGACTAGCGTCGGCTATCGGGGGTTTCCATAACCAGGCATCTCTCACCAACGGAGTACCGCCCCAGCCGAGACAAGTTCTAAGCTTCCGACCGGTCTCGCGGCATGTATGGTAGTACAGTTCATATAACATACGCTACTTTTCTGGTGT